TTACAGTAGATTTATAGGTGTCATGGCATTTCAAATCCTTTCTGGGGTTTTTTTTTTTTTTTGGCTTTTTGAATAGATCAAAGAGTTTTTCCACCCTGTCGTACGAAAATATCCTTACATTAAGAGTTGCATTAAACAAATTAATTAAAGGTGCATTTTGAAATTAAAAGTAATACCCCGAGGGCATCGTAACTCCTCTGCACAACCTCTAAACACTGGCAGTAACTCCGTGACGCTCCCATCAAAGTACACTGTATAGGTGTGTATATGTGTACACCACTTCAATCACATCATTTATATATCATCTCCATATTTGGCATGAATTATACAGTTTGAAGTAATAAATGTTTTAATATTGTAACTATAATCTACTTCAAAGGTACGCTAAAACAAGTTGACTTCTTTCTTGTTGCTTCCCTTCTTGCCTTCAGCGGCACTTCAAACCAGAGGAAGGGCAAGTGGATTTGCTTTTGCTGTTTTGGCAGCACATGATGTTGCATGTGGTTGGGCTTGTGATAACCACTTAAAAATAAAAAATTAAAAACAATAAAAGAAAAGTTCTGAGAAGGCTTTGAAAGCCAGTCAACTGTTAAATAAAATTATAATTGTTTGAAAATACACAAAAATACTACTCTGTACATCATAACACATACCCCTCTGGTGCTGTTGAAGCAGTGCAGCAGATTTCAGGCTTATGGTAAGGGGCCTCCGCTCCACTACTTGGCACCGGACATGGCAGCACCATAACAACCTTCAGAGTGAATCCATTTAGTTATAAGCCTGGAGATAGACGCTTGTTTAATTGCAGAGTGACATAGGAGGAGTGTGTTTGGTTTTTTATTTGTTTGTTTTGTTTTGTTCTCTGTGGCGCCAAGAGCTGCCATCCATGCCTGGATAAGAGTCGGAGCACAGATATGATAGATATCACAGTCGGCCCATAGGTAAATATGTGTAACACATAAGGCCTGAAACCTGATGTGTGTGGACGGTTTGGATCTCTATGTGACTTAACTTCACTTTTTTTCCACCACTCTTGTATTACATCTGGTTTTGTTAGTACTTTTGTCAGATACTTTTCATTCACCTCCAAATGAGTCTGATGTTGAAAAAAGAGTTTGTTGTTTAGGATAGATGGATAAAAAGTTTGGGCTGGTGGCGATGCAGGGCAGTTGAGATGAAATGTTGAAGTTAACAGAGGTGCTATTGTTGCCGTTTGGATTGTGATCTCTGGCATAAATCTGCTTCATCTCTTTGCACTGGGGGATTCTGGATCTCAGTGGATTTATATCTGGCAAAACATAGGTTGAATGAACATAAATACACCAAGGTTTTATGAGATAGTGTGTGCTGACATGGACAACTGAGACACTGTGTATAGATGGACAAATCTAGTCCCTCTTTGATGTGCACTAACCTGGCAGCATTTCCAGGCCTCAGGGACCAGAGTTCCATTAAAGCAGCCTTTATTGTCCTTGTGACTCTGAAGTCTTGATTTATACTGTTTGATAAGATAATCACATACTTGTACTTGTATAGTTTTTCCTTTCATCTCTTTTTGAACCAATGCAGTGCTTTATTTGGATGTTACACAGTTGAGCCCACGTATCGTCAGCACCGCACTGCCATTAGATACAGAGTAACTGAGTCGTTGGTCTCGGCTCCCTCCTCTGACACGGTGACATAACTGCCTTGGCTGGGCTGGCTGCTGGCACCAGACGAACTGAAAAACTGTCTTGCCGATTATTGGCAAATGAAAAGAGAAGTCTTGCAGGGCTAAGCAACAGGGAAAAATATTATTGACTCATAACCACAGCTACTATTTGTTTTCTCCTTTCACTGTCAATGTGTTTTTTGTGAAATTATTGACTCAGAATGTTCTCTGGTAGCCTTTGATCGAGCTGGGAATAAATGCTTTTAATCAGGGCTACAGAAAAATTAAAAAATAAACAGGGGACATCATTCTTAGAGCAGACGTTGAGAGATGAGAGGAGGAAGGTGGAACAGAGGAATGGCCATTTCTCTGTTCTGTGAGGAACTGTTTGAGTGCCATGTGGTTACTTGTCCCTGTGATTTATTTTCTCAGACCTTTTCTTTTGGGACCGTACAAAAACCACATGAAGGTGTTTAGGTCTCTCTTCAGCGTCATTGGTGTTCTTGCAGTCGATGGTACTACAGTTTGCACAGAAAAGTCGTTTTTGGTCATTTGATTGCAGGAGCCATTATCATTTCTAACAGAGGTGGAAGGCTCCGCAACATACGTAGACCATGTGCCTGAGAAAGTCAGAGGGATCTGAAAACAGCCGCTCCTTCAGGGCCTGTTTGGCTCAAGCTTTGGGATTATTATCTGCTTTATTAGGTATGATTGCGCAGCCCCATGCATCGACATGTTTTATATAATAACATTCACACACAATCAGGTAAGCTCTAATGACTCAAAAAGGTGTTGTAAAACCTGATTCTTCTATCTCAATTCAACCCTTTCCTGACAGTTCCCACAAATCCGCAAGAAAAGAGCCGAGGTCACGGCATCGATGAATTCTTTGTTCAGGGTCAAATACAATTCTAGGCCTCTAATTTAGGACCACTGGCGGAGCAGCCACCAGCCCAGGTCGGTGGTGTCTGCCATTCCTTCTGAATAGGAGCTGCCAATCATCAACATCTTAAAAACATTTTCTTAGAACCCTACCCTCAATCAAGAGTTCTCTCTTTCACCTTCCTCCAGGCTGGGGCTCCTCTCCAACATGTTTTACCCTCTGGCTGCATGTGACCATGTCACGTATCTCAAGATATTATCTGCTCTAATTTGTGTTGATTTTATTATTTTTTTTAACCACAATCTCCTTGGTTACAGCCATGACAAACTGACTTGTTTGAGCAAGAAGTACCAAAATAGGCTGAATCAAAAATGACTTGAATGTTTTTAATATACTGGGATTTATTGTTACAATAACTCAGCAAAACTCCAGACATATCAGTCACCATATTAGGTACTGAAGTGTTTTATTATATATATATATTTATAGAAATAAATGCCTTGGCACTGAGCACCCACCCCAACAAAAATCTTGACACATTACATTTCTAACGTATCTAACACCAAGTAACGTCATTTTTTATAATGAATCAAAATCAATTTAAACTAATAACAGAGTTCAAAAAGAAAAATAAATATAATGTCACGCTCTACCTGTCATTTCTTTGTCCCCGCCCCACACTTTGAGAAGCGCTGGTATGTCAACACATTTACATTTTTTTAATACTGTTTTTTACACTTGTAATAAACAAATGTAAATTGATATTTAGGCTCATTCACAGTTCATATTGTTTTGGTGTTAAACCCCAATAATCATCCAGTCCCAGTGACCCTGACCCTGACCTTCCCACCTCCATCGTCCTCAACCTCCTCTCATCTCACTGCCTGCGACAAGCAGACACGCAGCAGCCCTTTGCAAAAAATGACGTCAGTCACCCAAGACTGGGGGTGCCAGCTGTTGATGTCACCCTTGGGTTTTTAATTTAGGATTAGGATTTGTGCTGGGTGAGATGCGGGGCAGCCCCTTCAGCTCATCCCACAGCCACATGAAGAGGCCCACTGGGGCTGAACCCAGGAACAAACTGTTCAGGGCATGGCAGGGTAGGGTGAGTCCAGTCTAGTGTGTGCATATGAGGGGAGGGAGGGTGGGGGGGGGGGGGGT